TACACAAACGTTATCTCCCGACAGCTCCCGTTGGATCGTAAGAAAAACACAACCCTCGAAATTACACGCACTCGTGCGAACCGACACTCGGATCGTCCCTGCGGGAGCATTGATAACACCATGAAAATTTGCTCTTCTCCCCCGTTATATTACGCCAGCGGCAGAAAGTACACCGCGAGAAAAACTCAATTCTACGTTGACAGGGTTTCGATGACGCGTGTTAGACTTTGCTGTTAGATTATATTTATGATACGATCGAGACGTTTTACGTTCGGATATTCCTTTAAATTAATGAGAATATCTGTAATATGCAGGAATAATAGGCGATCGTAACAACACGCGTTCTTATAATTTAGGTAACGAGAGTTTGAATCTATCCTGTGATATTGTTTGTCCTGTGTTTTCGTGGACGGATGGACGATGATATAGGGTTGCTTAATTGTTTTATTTGAGTGTTTTATTTGGTTAGGAGTGCGAGATGATGTTTGGGATAGGGATGGTGTAGTTTTGACGAGGTTTTGATGGGTTTCATTTAGCAGTTGGTATATATCTTGATGAAGTTCGGACATGATTGATGTGAATGTTTGATTTGCAAGACACAACACTGAAACGGCTCATTTCATAAATTAAATTTGTGGAATAGAACATTTTCTCTTGGTGACTGTATTAAATTATTTCTTCCAAGTGTCGTTCAGGTGCTTTTCATTTTAAATTCATTTATAAGCAAAGCAAAAGCAATTTTGTAATGAAAGTTGGGTAGAAATATACTTTGTGAATTCGTATTACACTCCTTTCACAAATATTCAATCGATGCTGTGATTGTATCAATAAGAAATTATATGAAATTAAAAGCAAATGACTTTATTATTTCTTTTCGCCATTTTTATTTCAAAAGATTGTAGAAGGCTATTGTAAAGACTGTAAAGACCGCATTAATCTTTTCTTAAACTACACAAACGACAAAACTGTATTTCCGACGTTTCTGCGTTCATTTTATTTGTGCGATACCTAATACCTAGTAGTATTTCCACGATTTTAGTATAACTTCGTTACACGGTTAATAGGCAGCAATGCACAGAGTCGTTACGTCAAACGAACTATATATTATTAACAGTTAGATTGATCTATTTTTCTATTAGTTTACATTCGAGTAATTAATGTTCTAATAATATCGGGATTAGCAAATCGCATCGACGATTATGTTATTAACTGGAGCGATAATTAACGGCTGAGGTTCAATACCGTGACGGATCTTGTTATACGTCAATAATTACTCTCCTTTGTTGTAACTAGACTTAATAGATACATGCATCAATCTATCATACTGTCAAACACAACGCGTCCTTCATAAACTACAAGATAATCGAGAAAGTTTCATTTCGATAATATTGGAAATAACAAGGCGATTAGTTAAGTAATTTACTTCATGCACGTCTATTGATCTTCATTAATTCTCTATCGAAAATTTTGTTTCAGAAAATAAGTTGAAGGTGATGAATTATAATGTATCTATGAAAAATGATAATATCGCGTAGATTAACAAAATCAACGTTTAAGTAATTTTGTTACACATTTTCATCGAATTCAATAATTGATACACTTTTCATGAAATATTCTTCCCATTCAATGATTAATTAATCGTATCGTACAATAATTTCCCAGTGTTTCAACAGCAATAATCATAGTAAATAAGTCAATGTCGAAGTAAATGTTATAGAATGATTCTACTCGATTTTTAGAAAATTTTCTTCCCTTATTAAACGGTTAATTAATCGTATTATACAATACTTCTCTTATATCTCAACTTTCTTCTTTCGAGGTAAAAACTTATGACTGAAAAGTTTAACGCGAATTAACGTTGCTGGTCGAACAGAGCGGAAGTGTATGCTGGAAACGCTGAAAACGCTAGAAGCGGTTCCGCGCGCGCAGTCGAACGCTCGCTCCCTTTCGCGTTTATCGCACGATTCTGCAACACATAAACTGCACGCGGCGTTGTCTTCTTTTCCGCTCGCCGCTTGCTACACCGCTGTCTGGAATTTAATTGGTGGATGCACGTCGCCACGCGGACGCAGGCTGCTAGAAAACCAGGCTGAATTTTCGTCCGCGCTCCACTTCTAAATTTACGAGATTATTCGAGCGCGATGCTCGAATTCGTCGCTCCTCTGCTTCGCCGTAGAAATCGTTCTTTCGACAGACATTGTTCATTTCGACGAACGTTGCTTCTGTATTTCTTCGTTCGTATTTATTTTCCGTTTGGATATGGATATGGGATGGAGTCGAGGTGATTCAACTTTGCTTCAAGTTGTTTTAACGTAACGTTTTATTTGCGATTCCTTTTCAGTCAATTTGCGTTACTGAATGCTGCCTTTTGTCTTAATAATGTTATTAAGCTAATTAGCTAAATTAATATTGAAATACCATTATTAAATTAACAGATTTATTCCTAGCGATTAAAATTCACATAACGAAGAGAATCTCCATCATTCGAATATTTCATATATCGCTTACAATTTCTTAACGAAGTATACGCATACCTATATTTGTACTGGATGATGACACGATCTTGAGATAATCAAATAAATGGGATACTCTTAACATGGTTTCATTTCAATGACATCTCATTATTTATCCAAGTTTAATACTCGAAAACCTCCTACAGTGTAAGACGAGACTTCTCGAACAATTTTGTTACTTAGTCAAGACTAGCGGCCTAATTTTCAATTAAAAGAAAAACAGCATAATTCCGTAACAAAGTATCCTGAATACTAATAAGGTATTTTCCTTATAATATTATAATAACACCTTAAATTTTCTCTACAAACGTTGAATAATTCGTTAAACAAGTGATTTTATCGCCAATTAAAGAAGAAAGCTATAAGAATTTATTTAATATATTTTATCAACAATAACTTACCCTTACAAACATTGGACAATTGAAAACAAACAGAGATTGGGAAAAGGAAAGTCAATAAAAAATATCTTGTATCAGTATCCAGCGAGATATTGATCATGTGGACCCTGGATTACCAACTCCTGGTTCTCCTTTTACACAGAATTATTCACGAGCGACCGAACCATTTAATAAACTCATGGAAGAGCACGAAATAGCAATCACAGGCCTGACGTGTCGCACGTGTGTCGTACATCGTGTTGCGGTGGCTGAAACAGCCAGAGAGCAACAGCGAAACGCAGGCAGAAAACAAGCAAGGGTTGTCACAGGGAATCAAATTATAAAAGGGTTGCTTCTTTTCGCGCCCCTTTCTATTTCGAGCTTTTTCCAGCTTTTTCGAGTCAATTTTGCCTGTCACGTGTCGTTTCGCACATTAAAGATCCCCATTTGTCTTATCGTTTCGGCAACCTACTCTTCAGATACTATTTATTCATTTATATTCTTTTCCTTGAATTTATCGCAATAATTTATTTCTCTATTTTTGATGGTTCATTCTCGTACACTTTTTCTTCATATTTTATTCAATTGTTTAGTTATAATTTTATAGCGTTTTATTTACTTTTCTTTTCCTTTTAGTTTTTCCTATATTAATCTTTCTGAAATATTTACCTGCATATGTAGTATTATATATGTCACATATATGTAACTCTTCTTATGTAACGTATATTTTTATTCAGATGAAATTTTTATATCGTTTGGAATTTTTATTATAAGTAAAAAAAAAAGGGCAATGAATATATATAAACAGAAATGAATAACAAATAGCAAGGAGGGGGATCAAAGGATGTAAATACAGAGTTTGAAACCTGAAATTAAACATCTGTCAAAAGAATGGTACATATCTGCACACGAATTGCGAAGTTCTAGTATGGTATAGATATTTTTCAAACTAAAATTCCATTTTTTTTTGCTTTCAGTAGCTACAGTACTCTACTTTCAGTCAGTCACTCTTTTATAAAAGTTTCATTTTATTGTTTACTTGGTTTTTATTTATTCTCCTTACATTTGTTTAATCTCCGTCCAATGAATTCTAAGCTCGTTTCTTGTTCTGGTTTCCAAGAGTATCTCTCACAATTCGCCTTCTCTCGGCTGGCACCCTTTCCTTTTCTCTGGTGCGGCCCTTTCTAAGCGAGTCGCGTCACTTCAATCCCCTCGTTTCGTGCTCGAATGAAATATTTAATAAACTCGTTACGCGAGTCTCGACGACCGTGAGCTCACAGCCACGGCAACATAATAAATCGTCGACGAATGTTCCCAGTGGCTAGTACCCGGCTTTTTAACGCTGTCCAGATTTAGCTACTTTACATCGTCCAATTCTCTTGGCACGCTCGTGAAATTTTCTCACGTACTATCACCTGCGCTTTTCCTATCGCGTCCGCTTGTGTCCTGGTTCCTGGACTTTTACAGTTAATTTTACTGCTGGTAGAATTTAAATCATATTTTCATTGTCATTCATTTTGTTCCTTCAATAGTGGCTTATGCAAAACGAAGGATAGATCATTGTGATTCGTCGATGATTGTTTGTTTAACGAAGTTAGATTTGGGTATGTAGGTATCTGTTCTACTTATGTTTTATCGTAAATTGAATTTTTCAATATTCGACGTTGTACTGTTGTTACCCGAGTTATACTAATTCTACATATTATGGAATTTTATTGTTACATTTATATAATAATCTCAATATATTAATGCAGAGATATAATGAATATAAGTAGTGCAGTAAATGCTAATATAGTAATCTAGTGTTATATTAATATTTACGTAATTAATAACAATAATTCTATTTTGATTACGTAAAATCCTCAGCGTCGACGATTTAGTACATTTAAAGTATAAATTTTTTATTCGTATAGGCTAATTTACATAGATAATTTTAGAATTTGTATATCGATATTTCTAAACTTAAGCATGGAATAATAATAATTTATTATACGGTAAGTGTAATTTAGACAAATAATTTTGTCACATATTTGTAAATTCTTCCATCTGAAACATTTTTTTTTCTATCTCGATTAAACTTAAAATTCGATGATATCATGTAATTGTTGTATGTATTGAAATAACTTGAATGGTGGATATTTATTGAAAACAATATAGCGAGGAACATGGTTAATTCAACCAATCGAGACGAAATCATTGTTGAAAATCGTGGCTGGAAATCGCGTGAACACAAATTCGATGGGTCCAATATTATACGTGTATTTATTGTTTCTGTAACGGTAGATATCGGCAATATTGAGTTTAATCAGGATTACCGAGTAAAGTGCAGTTTGATTAAAGTCAGAATTACCATGTTGCTGAAAATTTATCGGCGTTATTACCTTATAACGGTGTAGAGGACTTTGCGCCATTTCTATTGCATTGCACACTGCGTATAGTAGAAATCCAATTATTCGAATACCGTGTCGTATGAACACCTGTTAACTGAATTTCGGTATTGCTAAATGCTAGTTGGAAGTTGATCGATTATTGACTAATTCTATTATTATGTTTCTTCCGTATCGTGCATGAAATACTTGAAATTTTATTATAAATGTTCATTTTGTTGAAAAGAACGAGTATTACATCGAATGTCTTGCACTTGAAGATATATTGGAAATATTCTGAAGACAAAAATCCAAACAACTTTGAATATTACAATCTTTTGCCTATTTATAAGAAAACAAACTTAACAAATTTTATTTCGATCTCCGAAATTATAAGCTTGATTTTAGTTTAGAAAGTTTGACGTATTCGATTAATATACTTTTATCGATTGTTAAAATTATTAATTATTCAGATTACAGTATAGGTTTTATTTCTTCTATATAAATTTAATACAATTTTTATAAGTTATAATTTCTCCAAATACGATTGCGCTATATTCTTTGAATGTTTTTGCGTATCATTTGATAAAAAGGAAAAAACTTTTTTTTTAATAGAAATATTTCTTTAGAAAATCGAATGTATATCAATGATTTGTTGGTGGTTTTACTAAGAGATCTTTCGGGTCGCATTTATTAGAAAATTGTGAAATGTAACGTGTCGATATTCAATGGCCGATGTGGGTGCATAATAGTCTTCCACTGAGCGGTTGCCTGAAACTCAGAAGCAGTTAAATCCAATTCCGATATTGGATGGCGTCCGACGATCGGTGGTTTGTAAATTATGCGAAGCTCGCACAGGAAATACGATTTGCCGAACCATATGACGGTTTCGATCTCGATGAATGAAGGTAAAACTATTTTAATCTCCACCAACTTTCTGACGGACCACTGGATGGTCTTTCGTCTACTGGAACTGTAGGATTCTAGCTCAGTTTATTGGCCGAAAGGAACGAAATTTACGTTTTCTCATTTTCAATATATCTAAATATCGTTACATATTTTAATCTTTCTTTATTTGTTTACGATCTTTGTTTCGTCTTTTTTTTATATATATGTAAGTATGTTCCTTGTATATATCGTTATTAAATCATTTTCATATAATAACAAAATGATGGAGAAAATTCCTATCACAGCGTTGTTTATTTATTTGAAAATACTTTTCCCTTTATTCGATCCAGCTTGACACGTCTCAAAAGGGTCAAATTAAAATTCTTCCGACACGCAACAGAGAGGAAGAAGGATCATTTTTACGGATCTGTGAATCCTTTGGTGTCGCTCCCTCCGTTCTCGGTTAATATTTGGCATCGAGGAGTCGGCATTGTTGCGACCCCTCGAAGAAGACGTAATCCTTCAAACCCTTTCTCGACTATCGTCGAATAGAATTCTCGTCACTTCGGTTCCCATTCCAGGATGGTCGTTACACCGAATTCTCATATCTCCTTCGTCACGAACCATCCTGTTCGTGATACAAAATTAAATACACGACGAGGAAGGAATTGGAGGACTTGAAGTGTTTTTACTTGTGAAAATATTTTCCGTTCGTATATATTTCCAAATACTTGTCCGGAGAATTTTATGACAAAATTTGTGTTATCTACTCGTCTCTGTATTACTATGTTTCACACTGTTTAATTTCGCATTAAACTATTATAAATTAATCAACATGCTACGATATTCATAAACTTGTAAAATATAAAATATACAATACAAAATATACAATTTACATATATATACAATAAATAATAAAATATACAAAATATAAAATTTGGCAAAAGTGATGACCTGCAGTCAAGGATCATTCACAAAATGTGTAGTATGTACAAGTAATTTCAACTTTAAATACGAAATGCAGAAGAAAGGATTGTCAAATTTTAAACAAAATACCACTCAGTATATAGAGCGAAATGTGCTCTTTAAAACGCACTCTGTCTCATGTCGATACGATAATTCGTCAATGATAAATCATTGAAAGGATACGCAATTGAAACATAAGGTAGGGATACTGAATGACGGCTAAAATTGTAGGAAACGTCGTGACCTACAATTTTTTCCAGGAAAATATGCACGTCGCGAATAATAGTAACAGTAAAAAACAAAAGGCTATGACTCCTGCGTTCGTCGCTGACCACACACGCGTGTCTAGCGTGGGGCAGGTCAGTGTAACGGCACGAGTGAGAGATCCTATTTCTAGAGAGAGAAAGTCGTAGCAAAATGTTGAAAATTACGTTGTACTTCAAACAACACTATATTCGGAACGAAAAATCGAGTCGATATGAAACAAAAAATATTTTAAAGAGGATGATTTCCTCGTTGTCATGGTATAAATTATAATTTGATTAGAAAGCAATTGCATCGCTTTTTTCATGAATTTAATAAAAGGTTTCGATTGTGTCTAAAACTATGCTCTGTTTTTATTTGAATTTATTTTGATTCATTTAATAACTTAATTTATTTTATAAATATTTATATGGTATATGTAGATGTTGTCTTGAGATAGTGTCGCGTTAGATTATTTAAGTAGGCAAATGATTTTCCTTAGAATTATTTCATTCTTATGTTTTATCTTTGTTTCAACCAAAGTTTGTCCAAGACTATCATCATTGCTAGATTGTGAATTAAAAACATTGCATCTGGATGAAGAACTGGTTTGCTTATTAAGTATTGTGACAGGTCGGGTATTTTATATATTTGTGGATATTGCGTAGATTCTGTGCATTTTTATGCCTCCAAATTTTCCATAATTCTTCCCATAATTTTCCCTCAAAAATCCTTAGTATAATCATTATTATTTGTTAGAATTGATATCATTGAATACAAGAAAACGCGATTGAGTTTATGTGAAAGAGAAATCAAACTTTTAGAAATTTAATAAACGAGAGAAATATGCCGTATGATATTTTTGGCCCCTGATGAAATTGGAATCTAGTAACAGAGTTTAAAATGCAAGTTTCAACATCGCAGAGCATCAAAGTTCGTACATGTGCAAGAAAATTTTAATAAATTTTTGTTCGCATGATACATTCGAAGTTAATAAACTGAAAATATCATTAGTTCAAATTTTAATATTATATTTATGAAACAATATGAAAATCAATGTTTTACATGAGGTTAAAATATGAATTTTAATGATGTGCATGATCAGAGTGATATTACAATAATTTAATAATGGCATACTGATTATGGTAATGCACTACATTACGTTAATCGCACGTTCGAATGATAATTCAATTAATTTGATATTACATTTGTTAATATGGAAGTCGTTATGTTTAAAATAAAAAACATTTATCAATTTCGTAAGTAATATATTATTCGAGATTTAACTAATCGTTTAACATAACAAGACAGCGGATTCTTATACATTTATGCGAAATTTAAACATGTAAAAATGCAGAGAATGCATGTAATATATAAAACACCCACATAATACACAGAAATATCTAAAATATATAGTAGAATACTCGTCATAAGCGTTTCCTTATTTCCTTAATTACGTTCATAAAAATATAAATTTGCATAAAATTTTACAGCCTAAACACCAATCTTTTTTGTTTAAATTACAAATTTCTAAAATCCAATATTATCCTAACTTTCACGCTATTCAATTCGCTTTAAATTTCAAATGCTGAACTCTACTATCGTGAAGTATCGACAATGAAAATTTTTCACGTGTCGTTACATACATCTTTATTATACTAAGAGGCGAGAAAGCAAAGACGCTCCTGTCTGTCGATAATTCGACGACGTTGAACGTCGAAAGACAAGAAGATAAAAATTATTTAAGAAAAGTGGGGTGACATTTTCGAAAAACTCTGAGCTCGAGTGACAGGATCATTTTGCCATGTTACATTGGCGAAAATTCGAACAGGAAGCACAATAGAGGGTGGGTAGCGAGCGGAATAGAAGTCGACGACATCGACTCGGTGTTAAGCCTTTGAAATTACACGGAGAAGTTAGAGCAAGGCTGTACTATGTTCTCCATTACCTTCCTATTTCCTCACCTCTTACTAACTCGACTAAAGTTTCACAAATTACTTCGTATCACCTCACACTGACCTGACCTGTTCGTCGCAGTTTAGCCGGAGTAATTATCGAGTCCTGTGACAGGAGTTTAAGTATCTATTCCAATGGATTTACTTATTCGATAACAAGCGTATTCTCTTCTATGCGCAGCGTCAAATTATTTTCTAACAATGTGCATAGGAAATCTTCGCGCTTAATCAATTCTACATGAAAATTTCTTTCCTGCATTTTCATGTTCCATTATCTCTGTAAAGAGACACTGTAATAAAAAGCTATTGAGATATCGTTTCGACATTTAGCATACCGATCTAAGCCTTTAATCGATGTCATTACCCAATTTGATAAGCATCTACAAGTCCTATTTAAGTTCATTTAATGAGAAACTTAATTTCAAGGGTAATAAGCTATTGAAAATTGAAATTTTACAAAAGGACAGACGAAAGACTGTGATATTTGTCATCTATTTCGTAGCATAAAGCTTCTAATCTTTTTTTCGCGAATAACAATTATGATCTCGAAAGTTCGAAATTTTACGAAAAGGTCGAGAGACAAATATTTTTTGATACGTATGATTTTTATGTTCGCCATGTACATTTTCGATACCCTTTGAAACGTAAAGTAAATGCGACACGAAGAAGAAGAAGGTAAAAAGACGGAAGGAAAGAAATGATCACGAAGGCGTACGTTTTCTCGGGAGAGATGCTCGAGAATGACGAGTCTGAAATATGAGGGCACCCCGGATGTCTCGAGGCTGCCCTGCAAGACAATACGAGGAGTACACGTCGAGACTACCACTCAGACTTGCCTGCAGGCAACCTGTAATAAACAATATGACTCTTACCTGCACCTTTTGTATGCCACTCGGTACTTCCTGTCCTAGAGGGCCGAGGGTTCATGCAGGATGCCCTACGGCCCTGCCCTGGCACGCACACTGCAAACACAGTCCGACAGGAATTTAATTCTACAGAACGGTCATCCTGTCTTTTTGCATGAATTAAGAATCGGTACTGTTTGATCAGAGTTTTGCTTCAGTTAGACTCGACACGATTCGAGAGAGTTTTCTTTTCTCTCATATACGAGTGGAACTTTGTTTGATTCATGTTAACACTTAAATGGTCGTGTGCCTCGAAAGTCACGTCTTTGTTGGGAGATTTCAAGGGTCGACGTCTCTGAAACTGAGTCTCGCGATTCGAGTTGCCTTCGACATTTTCTATTAACTGGTTTTTAAGGCCCATTTGCAGCTTGTTAATCCGATAGTTTATGAATTATGTATATCTTTATGCTGTAATATCTAACGTAATAATGAACGTAGTAATGATAACGAAGTAACGTCAAGTAATATTTACAGTAATATTTATAAATTAAATAATATTTGTAGCACAGACTCGTACCGCTTTGAAGATACTATTAATAATGTTGTACATTAATAGCGTTTGTAGACAAGTAAAGACACACTATAAAGCTAAATACAGCATTGTGTACTTTTGATTTTCTTATGAAAGCTTTTACGCGTTCATAAAATATTATGAACAAACAAGCTTCACGAAAGATGTTAATTAACGAGGACTCTGTTTTCTCTTTCCTTCTCTCACAGAGTGAGATGGCAAGCGTTACCTAATAGGCTTGTAGCTAATTTCCTCGTTGTTTTCAAACGCTGAAGAAATGCACGTTTTACTTATCCGTAAACGTTGATACATTAATGAACGAGCTGTTAATCGATTCAAGCGATATCTTAAAATGGTATTTATTTAAGTTTTTAGACCTAATTAAAGTTTCCTTTTATCGCAACATTTTTACTCTTTGGAAAATGAATAAATAACTTCTCTCATACGTATACATAATGTATTTCTATGTAAATCGCGTCAATTACGCTTATGCAAGGTTTTATGTAGACATGGTCTTAAGCGATGTATGATCTATGTTTCACAATTTAAAGAATTTAATTTCACGTGAAAACAAGAAAAATGTTTGTACGATTTATTAATTTCCTTTTCGCGACTGCAACATGAAAATAGAGCTGCATTGCTTGCTCGTTAATTCGAATTTTTCTCGCCAAGTTTTATCTTCATATAAAATTATGAACTTGCTAGTTTATTTAATTTCCCAAAGTGAACCATAACTTGAAAATTTATCACTTCTTTTACCGAATTAACGCAACCTTCCACGAGAATCTGCGTACACCAAGTCACCAAATAATTGCGTTAAACTAACTTCAAACAGCTCTTGGTGCACTCAAGTCGATTAGCCTCGCAAACAAAGAGAAGGAGTACTGACCACACCTTGTCACTTGCTATTTTATAAAAATCAAAAAATAAAAAAGAGGGATAAAGCGTTCCTTAACAAGTTTCGAAAATCCACTGTCATCTATAATTATCTCGTATAAATTACTCATGATTTTTTCATTCATGAAACACTCTTTTTTTTATTAGAACTTTTATTAGTATTTGATAAACATACAACCTCGCCATGAGTTAAACAAGTGTGGAATTAGAAAAGCGAAAGCTAAATAATGATATCTGCTATTATTAAATAAATCTAAATGGTATAAGAGATATTTTACCTTTAACCTGTATATTTCTACGTATTTAAATTGTCCATAAATGCATTTAGCCATTAGCTGGGAAAAGAAGTTAAGAACTAACATTAACTGTTTCATTTTGCAATTTATTCGTAGTCCTGAAAGTCGCGCTAAAAGAATTCTTTTCTGTTTAATAACGCTGCATTTATGAGTATTTCTGCAGCCAAATTTTTGTCTTGGATTTATATAATTCATTATTATTAAATTCTTATAATCATTCTCTATTAATCTTCCAAATGCAACAATTTTCACATAATAGTGACTTAAGAAAGTTGTTAATAGAACGCGAGAATTCGAGCGGCGTAATCGGGGTTGCAGCTGGAAATTACTGTGATTTCGTTTTCTCGCAAAAAGTTTGCAGTTCTCGGGACAGACAGTTCACATTAGATGTTCTTTCCTTAAATCAAGATTGTCGGTGAAGGAAAAAGACTGGGAAGAATTTTCTGGTTTCACAGTTTCGCTCGGACGCGCGAGGCGAACACTCCTTATAATTTTCAACAATTCCAACAGAATTGTCCGAACACGCCGTGGTTTCCAAGTGTTTGCTTCTTGTTTCAAAATACTCGCCCCCGGTAGAGGGTAAATTAGGAGAGCGGAGTTGAATCCAATTAACGCCCTTCATGCACTCGCACCCTTACCGCTTCTTATGTACCTCTTAAGTGCTTCATTTTCTTTAACGACGACGAATCATTACCGTCAACATCACAAAGAACCAAAATGTTTCACGTTCCAAACAAATACATTGGTTATTTTATTCTGTTTATTTTTTTGAGGAAAGGGGTAGTTGTCTTAGTTTTAATTTATTGTCTTCGTATATTTTGGGTCAGGTTTCGTTATTACCATTTTCATTTTCATTCATATGGTATTTTTATATTTTGGAAGAATTTGAATGTATCGTATTGTGCTACAATATGTGGATTGTTTCGGCGAGATAATTTAAAAGTTACTTTCATAAAAGTTCATTCTTTTTTTTTTTGATACATATGCACGAGTCAAATATTTCTCGTTTGTTTCTTGAAAGTGTCATAGAAACGAGTATTTAAAAAAGAAAGAATCGAAGTACTTAACTTTTATGTTTCATACTTGCACGTTGATATACAATATAATTTTTTTTAATTCCACGAAATTGCATTTTTTCTGTTGAAAAACGTTGTACGACATTTTCTGCATGAAGGTATGTGAAAGTTAATGCTACGAGTTGAATAAACTTCGATGGTTCTGTTAGAAGTTTGAAGGAATGTCGTGAGACTGTGTCCAACACAAAAATGTTTTGAATTTTATTTACAAAATTGCGCGAAGGTAATGAAGAAGCATAAAACAAAATTCCAGTGCCAACATTTTTTTGATCACCGCGGCTCGGCTTTTCATCTCGTTCATGAAGTGACCTTCCAGAAAGCATTTCAACAATGCGCAACATATGGCACGCGATACGTTCATATTCCATCGGAGTAAATAATGTTTCGAAACGAAAAATATACGAGGGATATCTCACCTTTGACTCGTTGGGGTATCTTTCTTTTCGCTTCTCATCCTTTCCTTCTGTTCTTCCCTCTACCTCAGAGAACTTGTATGCTCTCTCGTTCCTTTGAGAACGGTTGATTTACGAGGGAGCTTGGAGATGAGCCAGACTGTCATATTTGGTTTGCTTCTGAAACGTATTGCAGTACGAATGGTAGGGAGGAGGCATAACCGAGATAACGTTTCTCGAGGGTGTAACAAATTTTCAGACGATACGAGATGTATTCATTCGAATCGCGAGGACGACGGATTTTATGGGCCGATGAAAGTCTGCCAATCTTACTCTTCCTTTCGCGTTTGTATAAGTTATTCCATGTTCGAGATATAGCTATGATTTCTACTAATTTCTATGTGGCTTTTCTTTGATAGTTGCTTATTTAAAGACATTTCCATTTAATTGAGGAATACGTATCGGTTTCTTAACTACGAATTCGGTGTTGTAACAGATTGGACTAAATTCTTACAGGATGTTACGAAATTTAGAAAATAAACTACATTTGGAATTATTAATTTCATTCTTCTTTATTGAATTATGGTGAAATAAAAATTCGTTATATCGTCCTAATAAATTTGTTAGATCGTTCGAAGTTAACCCTGCCCTTCAATCGTTGGCAAAGTTTCTTAGATTCAAGAAATATTTAGAAGAATGCTGGTATGCATAATTTCTTCTTGCAACTTCATGCTAATATATTCATTAAAGGATTTAAGGTTTTTTAAGGTTTTAAGGCTCTTTGTTGACGTGGCAACGAAATTAGGATTTCAAAATTCCAAGAACGTAGCGAAATTAATTTCCTTATAAAGTTTCTAAAAATTCAGGAATATTCTAGTCCTATCGTATTTTTTTGTTAATTCTAAAAATAAAAATCTGAGCGACAGAATAGAGCATCGAAGAGACGGACAAACGTCAGTGAAACAATAAACGATTCGTTTCGTGTCCACGACAGTTTCTCGATTGTATTCAGGTTGAAACGACGCGTAGAACGAATAAGAACCGAACAATCGTTTCAAACGCGATAACGTAATCTCGCCGCGAATTTTCTTCGATTTCGAACAATTTCGAGGAACGAAAAACGTGACAAGTCATTTTGACGGAAGTTAAACAATGGAAAGTTAAGAATGGAAAGGCGTAGAGGACAAAGAGAAGGAAGGGCAGCGACCAGAGGATCGAACAGAGAAGAAACTGTCCTCTCGTTTCAAGTTTTCTGATTAAATCTGTTCTTTGGTTTCTAAGTTGGACGGCGAACAAGAGGCAAGGAGAGAAAGGGATGGAATCAACTACGTTTTCTTCTCGTTTAGACCCGGAATCGGGCCATCGGAAGCACCAGGTGGGAAAAAGAGCTCGGAAAGAGGAAACTGTGACTCTTTTACGCTCGCTAACTGTCCTCACTTCGATGATCAAGGAGAAATTCCACTTAACGTTCCAGGAAAGTTCTTCAATTTTTGCGGATACTTTTATTGAAAGGTTGGCCGGAAAATTGGTATGTCAAATTAATGGTACTCGATAGGGTTAACAAGTGATGAAATAAAAATTAGTAAACGACCCGTAGAATAATTAAAACGAATTATAGAGTTATTAAAATTAGTGGGATGTTGGTCTTTCTTATAAGTGAAATATTTGTATAGATTAGTGTAACTATGAAAATTAAAATAGGTATAATGTAATTGGTAGACATGTCGCAAAATGTAGATACGTACCTTGAGTTTTTCGCAAAGAAATATTTTGTGTGGATAGAGTTTCTGTTCTTTCTTAAATAAAGCAGAATAAGATACTATTTGCTTAAATCCTCTGCAAGTAGTTTTACTCTCCGATACCTTGTACTTAAAGGGGAGAAGAAACCACTTCTATTCTCACATAGTTTCTATAGTTGAGGAGTGATCAAGATTACACGATGCTAAATGAATACCATTTTACTCATACATAGAATTTGAATTTCTAGAAACTACAAATTGCGAATTCAATTTTCAGTTTCATCTAATCCATTAATCTTATTACTTAATCGAAGCTCGATCAGAAATCAATCATAGTTTCAAGTCGAGTAATTTTTGCCACGTCCATAAAGGAAATGCTTCTTTCACGAAATTGAAAATTAATCAGGACTTGATTAATGAATTATATCAACACTCGATGACGTTTTTCTTTTATCGTGGTTTCCCCTAGTCTTTCGATAGTCCCTGAGAACCCGATTCGTGGCTTGGAGATCTCCTCTTGCCACGAACACCATTCTTTTCTCTAGAGCCATTTATCATCGCGCACCAGCCAAAGACGGCCTGTATCGTTCGTTGTCGAAGCCGGCCTCGAACAATGGCTGAACATCTCGCGGCAAATAATTGCGAGAATCTATCGATCCCTTTCATATAACATTTTGCCACGCTCTATTTAATCAGATTTCCGAAATTCTTTCTTTCACCTCGACGATACCTAATGTCAAAAAACAATTTTTTACTGGGAATTAGATTCGATTCGCCGTAAGGAATATCG